ATCTGTCTATCTATCTATCTGTCTGTTTGTCGGTCTGTCTATCCATGCACGCGTCCGTCGATCCACACATGTATCTATGTAAATATCGATCGATCTATCTAGCCGCCTATCTATCCATCGATCAATCTGTCAATCGTTCTATCACTCGATCAAGCAATGAATCCACCTATCTATCTATCTATCTATCTATCTATCTATCTATCTCCCTATGTACTATCTACAGATCTATCTAACGATCTATCGAGCGATTGACCTATCTACATATCTGTCAGTCCGTCGAGATATCCATATCATCTAGCAATCTACCTATCTACCTACCTACCCATCTACCATCGACCTATCTATCTATGTATCTACCTATCTGCAAGTCTAGGTGGCTGCCTATCTTTCTGACTGTCGAGCTGACTTGTTCCATGCGTACATGCCCTGGTGTACATATCTGGGTGTGCGTATGTAGCATGCATGCATGCATGAATGCATGTATGCCTGCCCGCCAGCCTGCCTGCATGCATCATGCATGCATGTATGTGTCTGCATGTACTTAATGATCAGTTCAGGTAATTATCCGTAAAAACATACAATGCACGTATGTGTGTATGTGTATGTGTATGTATGTAAGTATGCATGTATATATATATATATATATATATAGATGTACATATGTATACACACATGAATGCGTGTTTGTGTGTCCTACTGTAATTATAATCAATAACACGTTGGGTTTTCCGGTGAAGGTTGAGACGGGCGAGGAACATGACTCTTGCCGAACCCGTTGCTCGAAAGGCTACGGCAGGATACAACCACGCCCGAATGTGAAAATGGTCAAACATCATGACCCTGCGCTTGTATGCCAACTCACAGTAGTTTTGCTTTTCTGGCCACATGGCAATGGTTTTCGCATAATGCTACACCAGTGAGCGCTCCCACTGCCGCATTGCTAGCTGGTACACGACTACATTTTTGACTACTGAGCTACAACCACTTGTTGCTTCCCGCATCTTGATTTCTCATACTGGTTCTACTGCGATCGTACAAGTGGTCTTTGCGTTGGCAGCAGTGCTGTGCCACTGCACCTGCTACGCATTCGCAAACACTCTCCGCCGACCCAGCATTTTCTCTAGCTGTTCAAACATGCAACCCTGGACCCCATTGACAATAGCAGAACCCATAGTATAAGCACAAATCATGAATCTTGAGGACATCTCACGAGACGGCTCCACCGCGCGAACAAGTGCTTCGCTTCCACAGGCTTTCGGACTCAAACATGCAAGAAACTCAGACAATAAATGTGGATCTCAGTCAGTCCCACAGCAACAAACACTGAAGAGCCTGTGGCGTGGGGAGTTGCACCGATGTGGATTGCGTCGAATACTGGCGCACCGTTGTCACCTCAACTCCAGCTTGTTTGCTGTTGACATGTTTTACATGGAACCTGATATCGCTAAGTGGAGAACAGAGGCATAGGACAGCGGGAAACCGAAATGAGTGAGGCATGCGGCCCCACGCAGCAGAGCAACTCTTTGTCTCCTGCCACGACTCTCTCCCTGCGAAGCTTGCACTCTTTGCTCGCATGCCAGTCCAAGCCAAAAGCAGCCCTAAACCCGAATTCCGAAAAGGCCTAAAACCCTAAACCCGAAATGTAACTCAAGAACCACAGTTTTTCAAATCCCAAGGAACCCTCGGGCTAGGACCCGGACGTATTTTGAGGGTGTTGAGTACACAGAGGACACCGAAGATGTGTACTGCACCGGCTGCGGCGAGGTGTAGGACCAGTGAGTCACCTCGCACTCAGAGCGGCGTTTCCTACAGTACTGCCGTTACCAAGGGCATTCTTCGAAGAGCCTTGAAACTGCAGGGTCTGTTAAAAAGGCTTCAAGGATATCGGAACCCACTTTCATGCAGTTACCATAGTATATCAGACATTGTAAATAGCATGGCTTCGTGATCAGAACAACGACTCCGACCCACAAAAGACCTGAAAACTTCAAGGTCGGTTGGTTGCTCAATGCGCGAAGGGGTCTTCGCGGAGGACCCATACGCTTTCGGGTTTAGGGGTGTTACCAGGTTTCAGGGCTTTTGGCATCCAAAGGTTCAGGATTTTCGACACCGCCAGACGAAGGCATTGCAATGAGTGTTCAGGGGTTTAAGGTCTGGGGCCAGGGTGTCGGGTTTGGAAATTTTGGTCCACTTCCAAATCACCTGGAGAGCTGGGGCTCCAAGTAGACCCAAACCCTTCAAAATCCAGTATGGTGTACATGTGTGTGCACAGTTCAGCAACTGAGCCTTGGAATACGAGTTCTTAGATCCTTAGGGAAACCAAAGCTGCCCTACCATGCCTGCGGCTGCGGCGATGGCAAGCACTCGCGGCTGGGACGTGCACTGAGGCCTTGGCGGTTCTGCTCCGCTTCAGTCCCCTTTTTTGCAACTGGCTTGCAACGTCACGCCAGGACAGCTGACTCGCTTCAGTCCCTAAACCCTAAACCCTACATTCTAAAGTTTAATTAGGGTTTAGGGAGTACTCGTACTAGTACTAGTACTAGTACGAGTACGAGTACTGGTGGTAGTAGTAGTAGTAGTAGTAGTAGTAGGCTAGTAGTACTAGTACTCGTAGTAGCAGCAACTATGCGTGCAAATGTGAGGGAGGATCCAAGACCCGGCTCACCCTCAGAGCCCGATAAGACCCCCCTGTTAAGGGAATAAGCCTGCCACCAAAATCATGAGCTGAGTAGGGTTTAGGGTTTAGGGTTTAGGGTTTTGAGTACTCAAATAATGAAGGTCGGCCCGTGAGATTTTGAGGGCCGAATGCAATGTAGGGGCCTGGAAGCCGGGCGAGTTCACCCTTCAGACCGCAGCACGTCGAGTTTTGGGGCGCGTTGAATGACTCAGACTTCTGAAACCCAAAGGGTCCAAGTAATAGTATAGTATATACTGTTGGGGCCCAAATACCTACTAAGTACCTACTATAGTGGTACTTGGACCCTTTAAGGGAAAGCCCTAGGATGCTCCAGGCTTCCTTCAGTCTCCTTCAGCTTCGATCGCGAGGCCCTAAGGCCCTATAAGGCGAAGCCGAGCACCGAATCTCGAGCTCGAGGACAGGAACCGGCAACATAAATCTGGGGGGTTTCCGAAAATAGGGGACCCGATTATAGTACCCTAAATAGTAGGATCCTTATTATAAGGATCCCCAAATAAGGTACCATAATTTCCGGAAACTCCCATCTGAGTGTTGCAGTAGCTTGGGCATGGTTCGACTCCACGCAGCTTTTTTTGTCTAGAGCCAACATTTCCTTTAAAGACACAGGTGTCCAAACACATAACTCTAGGAGATCGCTCCTAAACCGACTACACAGAAACCTGTTTTCCTGCAGCCAGCGCCGTGCCAAGTCGGACGGTGTGAGACGACAGAGACCTAAAACAGCCTGTCTGAAACGCTTTTGTTCTACAGCCCTAAGCCCGTTCAGGGCAGGATTCTAGAGCTTCGGATTTTGGGAACTGTGCTGTTCAACGGCTTCTAGTCACCATGCCATGATCGAAAACACCCCCGGGAGCTTCAAACCCTAAAAGGACCAAAGCGAAAGGCACCGGATCCGTGTACCCATCGCGTGAAGGCCAAAGCCACGTCTTCAGCCGGCTCTCGCTGCGCACCTCTCCTGGGCACATGCTCTCGTCTTCTTCCAACCCTCATGTCTCGCTCTCTGCCTGTCTCTCTCTCTCTCTCTCTGTCTCTCTCCCTCTCTCTCTCTCTGTGTCGCGCTCTCTGAGTGTACTTGCTTGCTTGCTTGCTTGCTTGCTTGCTTGCTTGCTTACTTACTTACTTACTTACGTATGTAGGTAGGTAGGTAGGTAGGTAGGTAGGTAGGTAGGTAGGTATGTATCTGTGTGCTTACTTGTGTAGTTGCACTATGTATTGTGCATATAATGCATATGTATATTATATATATATATATATGTATATGTTATATGTACATACAAGCATAGCATGCATGTAGGCATGGATGTCTGTATGTCTTGGGGGAAGGGGATACAAATGAGCGCGTATCTGTGCATCTAGCCTCACTGCGATCATTTCACTGCTTGCCTGTTGTCGATTTCAACACTCCAGATCTGGTCCCGGCGTTTAGCACGATAGGAGATAAGACTCTCTTGCCTAGGGTCCGATAAGGTTTAAGGGTGTCGGGCTGGCTTGTGATAGGGTGCTTCGTTTGCCCAAAGTTCTGTGACAAATGTCGCCGGTCCATGAGGATCTCAGTTTGGATTCGGGGGACTGAGGCAAAGTGCGAGGGCTTGGGATTCAGGTTTAGGATGTAAGGCTTTACAGCTTGTTCGACTACGTCTGCCAACAAGTGAATGAGGTTCTCCGCTCTGACTCTCGCTAATTGAGAGCTTGATCAGCCGAACCTTGACTCTGACCGATAAACACATTAAAACTTCTAAACCCAAACACCCAAACGCCGAACCAACTTCAGTTTTATATGAGCCCTGGACGCCAGAAAGTACATGTTTAGACTCATGTAGGCAGGTTTCGTTGACCTCTCGGTTTTAGTATCACATGCTACCATGGTCTGCTCCAGTGCTGCCTAGCACTGCATGTTTTCGGAGTCGTTCTTCAACAAGTCGCCGTCAGAAGATGGTTGCTGGTTACGAAGGGGACTCTACAGGTCACCATGGATCTTTGCTTGCGACGTGAAGAAGCACACTGTGTTCTACAGTAAGGGTGCCGACAAGCCTTTAAGTTGGTCGTCGTGCTGAATTCTTTTCGGGTACCTGAAGTAGGTCAGCCCTTAAGAAGCATCTGAGTCTGTCTTTGAGCCAACATCGAAAGAATCCACCTATGCTCCAAAGCCTCAAGCCCCAAACTGCTATACATCAGACTCTACACCTTCCACCTATGCAACCTGTGATTGCACTGTCTTCACCAGCCGTCAGGATTCACTTCCAGAAAACCCACGATCAGGCCTCTTTGGTGGATCAACCGCCTATGCAAGATTGAGGGTCAGATGTTGAAGCACGCGTAGCATTGCCTTGTTCTGAGACCAGGGCCCAAGGCCAGGGATTTGGGTAGCTCTCTACATTAGGATCCCTTTTTAAGTCCCCATTATAGTANNGGCACCCTTATAAACAGGACCCCCCCTAATCTACAAAACTACCCATCTAGACGTCAGTTGCTGAGTAAGCTTCGGTCCCCAGCACCAAAAGGCGGCCAGCCGGCAGCACTGGTCGCGAACTGTCACCAGGCTTTTCTCAAGGGAAAGCTGAGGGGGGGGGGGGGGGGGGGGAAGCTTAAGGACATTCTGTGGCAGGGGCGGAGGTCCAGTAAGTAAACCACAAGGCACCTTACGATGAAGCCGTGCGCCATAAACTCTTCTGAGGCCGCAAAGTCTTCTAAATGCGCTCATGAAGCCTTGGCAGGCAGTCTCCCTGCTGAATTCACTTTACAGAAAAAACCAAAACCCCGCAGTTCAAGTGGAAACACAGGTCTCAGTTTCCCGGTCTGTTGGAATTGCAGTTCTCAACTCTCCGTTGCAGTCATCATTGAGGCTCGGAGTTGCTTCGGAAATCGACGACGCAAACTCTGCACCTCTGTCTATTTCATGGCGGTGCTTCTGTGGGAACCAGATGTTGCCGGTTGACTTCACATGTGAGCTCTTGCAGACTTGAGGATGATGTATTTGGGAGCCTTGCACGAACCTATGCTTAGAACTGTGACTAGTTAATGTTGTTGCTATTCTTGCAATCACCTCTGTGAAGCCAGGCTGGCCCACAGCCAGCTTTCTGAATTGTCTCTAGAGCTTCAAGGCCAAGGCAACATGCTTGAGTTTGGCGGACCTCCCCCTAAAAAACCTGAACCCTCCACCTGGGTAGTTGTCAAAATGATGGTCCCTTTTGGGGTACCCTAAATAATAGGTGCCGTATTATAATAAGGACCCAAAAAGGGACCCTAATTTTGACAACCCTCCATCTTGAGCCTTAAATCGCAAGCCCCCTGGTCGGCCCTCTGGCCTTCATGAAGCAAGGCCCTCTCGGAAGGCTTGGCCGGATTTTTCTGAAAACTCGCCCACAGCTCCTCGTGCAGGGGTTTCGGCTCTCACACTCGGACAATCCAGGCGAGGCAACGGTACGAGGTCTGCAAAGTGAAACCCACACACATGCGAGGGTTTTCGGGTTTGAGGCTTAGGGAGGGCTTGTGGGTTTCGGGAGCTTGACAACACGCCGCAATGCTCCATATATTTGCACCGGTTCCACAACTATTTTTCAATTTCATGAAAAGAGACTGCATGCCGTCATGTTGGTTAAAGTTCAACAACGAGCTCCCTGCAAAAGCCACGGGAATCACCCAAAACCTGCAGAGCCTTCTCCCTCACTGAACCAAACACCATGGAAGACCAAAGCCGCCGTCGCACAGATCAGAACCCCGACTCCTACACGGGTTTAGGGTTTAGGGTTTAAGGTTTAGGGTTTAGGGTTTTGAGTTACTCTCGGGGGTCGTCATGTTGCATGCCTGACGACCCCAAGCTGCAGCACGAAGCGCCAAATCCCAAACTTTGAACTCCGATGCCCCTTTGAACTCGGATCCCTGTCTATGCTGTCATGTTCACTCGTCATATGAGCTTTACGGCTATAGCCTGCAGAGCGAAAACAAATGAGGTGTAGGCCCTTTTGCAGCAGTTGGGACTAATTCACAGCAGCCTACACCCCAAACCCGAATTGGAGCCCTGACCAAGCAATGCCAAGAGACAGTCCACAGTCCTACTGCACCTAAGCTAAGCATTTCAGGGCGTCAGAAGTCGGCTTAGGAAATCTTTCGTGCAGTCGCCGCAGAACTTACGCGTGCAGAAAAGAACGGATGGTTACATGCATGCGTCTACTTGTTCATGCTTGTATAGGTACGTGCATGTGTGCATGTCTGTCTGTCTGCCTGCCTACTTGCACGTGTGTATGAGTATCTGTCTACGTGTCTGCATGCGTACACCTGTACATGGACATGCACATGTGGACCTGTATGCATGTCATGTGTACATGTACGTATCTGCACATGTATACGTGTAGGTATGCATGCATACGTGGGGTGCCTGTGCATGTGTAAGTGCGTATGCATGCGTACACTCGTATGAAGGAGCGCTTGAATGAATGAATGAATGAATGAATGAATGAAAGAATGAATGAATGCACGCATGCATGCATGCATGATTCAACCAACCAACGACTATATTTATGAGGCAATGAATGAATGCCGGCATGCATGTATGCATGCTTGTATGCAAGTATGTGTCAGTATATATAAGTAAGCATAAGCATCAGTCTGAGTGTAACTATGCCTATAGGAGTAAGAGTATGAGTATACGCACAAGTGTAAGATAGTATAAGTATAAATATAAAAGTATGCATGTACGTAGTGTATGTGTATTAGGTGTGTAAATACGTATGCATGTATGTGTGTATGTATGTATGTATGTACGTATGTATGTATGTATGTATGTATGTATGTATGTATGTATCTGTGCATCTAGGTCTATGTATATATATATATATATGCACGTATGTCTGTGTGTGCCTGCCTGCCTGCCTGCCCGGCTGCCTGCCTGTCTCTCTCTCTGTCGGTCTGTCTCTATGCATAATGTAAGGGCCTTAATAATTAGAACAAGGTTTGTTTGTTTGTTTTTTTTTGGGGGGGGGGCGGGGCGGGTAACTATGAAACCCCGAAAGCCTATTCTAATTATAAAGGCCCGTACATTACGTGTCCGTCTGCCTTCCTGCGTGCCTCTCTGCCTCTGTTCGTCCGTTTGTACGCAGGTGCACGTGAATGTGTGAGCATGTCTATGCATATGTGCATGTCTATGTCTACATAGGTATCTGTATGTGATGATACAAGTTATGTATTCATTCGTGTACGTATGTCAGATGTGCTGTTGGATCCGTGACTGCGCTCATGCCGTTCACCCCGTGGTCTAGAAGATGCTGTGAATAATGCCAATGTTGGCTCGAAGTGGTCGTGGCTGGCCTATCTTGTCGGCCGTTCACAAGAGGACTCAAGGAACTAGTTCACGTAGCCTCGACCAGCTTCACACTTGAAGAAAGCCTTCGGAGGGTGACTGCTCGACTCAACAGGCAACGCCCCTAGGCCCGAGACCGCAAGCAAAGGGGGTTTGCTAAACACTAGGGTCCTCCTGCAAGGCAGCTGAGCAAGAATCCCAAATGACTTGCACTTTAGTAACAAATGCATGCTCCAAATCCTTCTAAGCCTCAAAGCTCTTCAAAGCTGATGTCTCCATAAGCTCGAACCCCAAGATGATGCAGGATTCTATCCGAGGCATCCCCATAATAATATCCGATGTTACAACAATCACAACAACACTCACCAATGCCGAACAAAAACCCTCCTCCATGCACGCAGACTCTATCCTTCCGAAACCAAGGAACCTAACACTAAATTACCTATACATATATATATGCATGTACATTTACCTATAAACAATATATATATATATATACACACATACGATACATACACTCACAAGTATATATATATATATATATATGTGTGTGTGTGTGTAGAGCCCAGGCACTGAAATGGAAGGGCCGGGCGCTTTGCACACGTCGTGCGAGCTCCGCCCGAGCCTCGGGCGGGTTCAGGGTTTGGGGTCACCCAAACACTTCATCCGCGCCTCGACTTGAACGTGGTCGGACAGCCGTCGACAAGGTTTCATAGCAGCAAACTCGCAGCTGGTCGTTGAACATGAGCATGCATGTCGCTATGTATGTACAGAAAACGGTGCGCGTGTGTGCCTTATTATGCATAGCAAGACTTTGCCCTGTCAGCCTGTCTGCGCATGCACGTCACTATGGATTAACAAGACTTGATCCTGTCAGCCTTCTTTCCCTCAACCCAGCAGCCTACCTATAGTCTCCATTGCAGTTCCTTTTTTGGTTTTACCTCATATATATATATATATACATATTTATTTGTATTTGTATTTATTAAAGACGTTATAAAATATCCCCAAAAAGGAACGACAATGGAGACTATAGGTACTTTGAAGCTTTAAAGACAGGCGGATGGCCTCTCGCTGAGCGGGGATCCCGCCGAAGCGCATGGCAAAAGCACCGATCAGAAGAAGTGCCCGAACTTCCTCGACGATGCAGGAGCTCAGACTCTCCATGGTTCATTGAAAGGCCCTGGCCTCCCTGGACTTGAGAAGAGGAACCCAACAGCAACCCAAAAAGATCCAAACCCTGAACCCCAAATAACTCCTAAATCCAAGAACTTCAGAACTTTGCTTCAGCCGGTGCACCCAGAATCCCAACCCAGGCGTAATGACTGCTACAACAAAAGCAGTACTGGGCAGAACACATCATCAACCGCGGCTCTGCGCCTACGAACTGACGAAAGTGCTTCCCGGATTCGTTATAACTCAACAAAATGCGCCTGCATCCCAACTCCTAGTCTGCTGTATCCCAGCTCGTTCACAACTTTATCCTACGACCACAAGTTCTGCTGCGCAAATACACAAATACCTAAACACAACACTTTTCAAGACAAAACGGAACACCTTCCACCCCTCCTGCCGCAAATCTCAACTCGAATTGGCCTTGTGCCTGAAAGCCTTGAGGCCAGGCCCATCTACTAAATTTTCCCAATGGACGCTGGATGATTAAAAATCCTATGATCATGACAGGGGCTACGAGGATATTACTACTAAGAATTCCAACCCCCTACATTAAGCCCTTGTGATAATCCCGACAGTCCCTCTGATAAAGTCCCTCTCACCAGGCCTCCTTTACAGCATCCTTTTTACAACTCCCCTAAACCCTAACCATGCCTCCTGAACCCTACACTCTCGACTCTACAACACAAAGCCCCCTGAACCCCTAAACCCTACACCCCTAAACCCCATAAACCCTAAACCCCATAAACCCTAAACCCTGAACCCCTAAACCCTTTTTTGCATCAGGACTTGTGCAATCGCCTGAACACGACTTCCAACCCCTAAACCCTAAACCCTAAACTCAAAGCCCTCCCTTTTGCCGGAACTCCGGCGGCTCCAAGGGAAGCTCCGCACGTAAGGCAGCGGTCTGGCGTCGGCGCTCTGATGCGGCGGTCCAATAGGCCACCTCGCGTATAGGGGTTGCAAGGGTTTCAGTCTTAGGTATTCTTTGTTTTAGGGTTTAGGGGTTGGAAGGGCTTCAGTTTTAGGTTGTCTTTGTTTCAGGGTTTAGGGAATGGAAGGGCTTCAGTTTTAGGTCGTTTTCGTTTTCGGACCTGCTCCCAGCCTCGAATGTCTCAGGCGGCAGGCGAGGTTAAATACTTTTGCCAGCCAATCTGAGCCCTAAACCCCTTTGCTGCAGGCTTGCAAGCAAGAACGCCTGGTAGTTAGCCACTCGTCCGCCGACTAACGCCCTAAACCCCCCCGCCCGCCCTAAACCCCTAAACCCTAAACCCTTTTTGAACCCAGACTCTGCCAAACCCTAAACCCTAAACCCTAAACTTGCCCTTCAGTCTTCTGCTCGGCACCACCGCGTCCCAAATTCTTGCTCGGCAAGCCCAGCCCTGGACCCTTCTCCCTGCGGTTTCAGCACTCACACTCGGAGGAGGCTAGGCCTCCCTGCGGTTTAGGGTTTGGGGTTCAAGGTTTAGGAGTTTAGGATTCAAGGTTCTGGGAACCGTACTGCGCTGAAGTGAAGAAGTTCTGGGTGTTGCTTAGTAGGGCTTATAGGGTGTGGGTTTAATGTTCAGGGTTTTGCGTAGAAATTGCTGTGTCTCCGTATGTCTCTGTCCGTCACTGTCCATCTCTGTCCGTTTCTGTCCTCTGTCTGTCTTGGTCCGTCTCCGTCTATCTTAGTCAGTCTGTCTGTCTCCGCCTGTCTGTCCGTTTGTCTGTGTGTTTTTCGGGGCCAGGGGTGGCTCATGGGTTGGGGAGTTTTAATGGTGGGTAGCACTGTAGCCGTGTGGCCTATTGAGTGTTTGGGTTTGCAATTCGAACTGTTCGAAGAAATATGTTTCCCCTCCTACAAAGTAGTATTTAGGGATAAGGGTGTTCGGTTTCTGTGTGCTGCTCAGTGCATTCTGGGCAAAGCATCTGGAATTGAAAGCAAGGCTCTAAACGCTTGTGCCGTTAGGGACTGAATATCAATATTTCGGATTGGCGGGTACAGGCCCCCAAGGCACCCTTCATGGAGGCTATGGTTGGTCCTCAATGAGTCCGTAGTGGTGCGTGCGGAGAATGTGACAGAGCGAAATCGCGCGTCAGAGTGTCTGGATGGGAGGGCTTCTCGAAGGCACCACGACTCGCATTAAGAACTCTAGCAGGCAAGAGCAACGACCAAGACAGAACATAGATACGGACAAAGGCAAATATAAGTCCCGTTCACAGGCGGAAGGAGACGCACATCAAACCAGAGCCAAGCAGACTACAGAACAAATTCGGGACTGGGACAAAACAGGAAGGCATGCCTTTTTCCCTCGAGCTCTCTAAACGAGACGACTATCTGCCCGGTCTTACAATGGCTGCAATCGGATCATAAACCGTTAGCAGGAGGTGCCACAGGACTGCGGCGCCTCCAGCCGTCGGTAGTCTTCTTTTGAAGCAGTCTCGAGCGATGCATCATCGAGTGGCTCCTCTGGCCTCGAATAATTCGTTCAGGGCTGCTTCGAGGACCGTGGAAGGGAATGGTTGCCAAGTCTTCAAGGTCAGGTTTTACATGCCAAGATCAGCAGATCAAATTACCCTGATCGAACACCCGTAGCCTCACGGTTCACCTAAACTAATCCGTGAACGCTTACAGGATTCAGGGTTCAGGGCCTGTTTATGTAGGGGGGCCTTAAGAATTAGAATAAGGCTTTGGGGTATATTATACTATCCTTACAATAAGGAGCTCCCCAAAAAAGTAGCGGTCATTCTAACAAAGAGCCTCCAAAACGGCATAGGTAATTGTTCAGGCCCCTCTGTTAAGCCTATGAGCCTATGCCCTAAGCCCTAACCTAAGCCTACTGAATCTATGAGGGACTTCGAGTTAAGGCTGAAGCTCCCAGACCGGGAGGATGGCGGCGAAAAGCGACCACCAATCGAAAGAACCCCCCGATTTAGGGCTTCAGGGGATTAGGGTTTTAGGGCTTTAGGGTTTAAGGTTTAGGGTTCTGACCAAAACTCTTGGACAAATCCACCGTCTCGAACTTGTTTAGTAAACCCAATTGCTGTGGGCTTCCACTAAGACCCTGAGCCCTAAATCCTAAACCCTAAACCCTAAACCCTAAACCCTGAGCCCTAAATCCGTGCCCGAGACTCGGGAGCTGAAGCTTCGCTTCGAGGTTGGCTAACGAATCTGCCTCGAGCGGTTGTATGAGGCTTGGGTTTAGGGTTTAGCGTTTAGGGTTTAGGGTTTAGGGTTTAGGGTTTAGGGGTTTTGGCTTTAGGGATTAGAAACCCTTTTCAGCATGGGCTTGGATTGTGTGCCAGCGAACACCCTAAACCAGGGTTTAGGAGTTCAATCACTCTCTGATTGAAGACTCAGGGTTGAAGCCGGCTTCATGGCGTCGGGTTTACTCACCAACAAATTATACCGTCTAAGGATTGAGGGTGTTCTGGGCCGAGGCTCCGTACTGCTGCTTGCGGGTTCAGCGTTTGACAGGGTACAGGCTCTAAGCAGTCATACTGTATGTGTATGTATATATATATATATATATGGATATATATATATATATACATACATATATATATATATATATGTACATGTCAGGAGAAAGCTATCTCTGGAACACCCGAATCACAAGCATGCGCGACCTGATGGAGTCGCTTTTTTCGCGCTGCCCCACAGCTAACTCGTGGCAAAACCCATTTGCAAAGGGTTGACAGGTTTGGGATTCGGAGTTTAGGGTGTCGCAGAACAAAGAAGCATACGACGTGACCATGTCATGTGCGGCTGTCTGTGTCTGTGTCCCGGGTTCTCTCGACCGCTTTAGAAGGCATGCTTTACGATTGAGGTTTGGGCTTTGGGTGTGCAGGTTGCCCCTCCCCTGCTCTCAAGGTTGCAGCGTTAGGTCATTGGCAGTAGCCACGAAGACGGATTCCTTCTCCGACACGGTTGCAACCGCGATTCGCATCTCCTTCTCTAAGCAACTCTGCCCATATCCGGCCGAGGAGCAAGCTCGACCAAGGGAGGTGGCAGATCACGCTCTGTCCAGGCAGCTTTGCCTAAGGTTGGTCTTGCTAGGGTCCTTCTTGGGATTGAAAAGAGCTGCACAGGATGCTGTAAGGTCCTACGACGCTACGAGGTGTCAGCAGGGTCCCTCATGTCAAGGAAGTCAACCGAAGCTACCACAAAAAGCCTGAGTGTGTCTGAGTAGTACAGTATCACTGCTGAAATTGTATCCGTGTCTTTGTGGACATACTACCAATACAATCAACACAATAACCTACTGTCACTAAAGCATCCATGAACCCTAATCCCAAAGCCGCATGGTAGCTTACCTTAAGTTACTGAAGGTAAATCCAGCGACGGCTGGTGTAGGCGAGGTCAGACATGCCGTGGTCCTCGAGTATTCCTGCAAGATGTAGGCTTGTTGTTTAGTTGCACCTTTTTCCGACTGCAGTGGAAAGATTTAGGATTTAGGGTCCGTACCCAGTGTGAAGGAACACTTGAGTCTACGGATGTTTTCGCAGCGACGGTGCCATAAACATGATCTTGCACTGCCCTGGACTTGTCGTGCTTGCCTGCGTGTGAATACACTCTACAGGCTCTCAAACTAAGCGGACAAGTTCAATGCCTGTAGGGTAATTATTGCATAATGTAGAGGCTTCAAGAATGAGCATAGGGCTGTGCGGCATATACTGCTTTCATTGCTGATGGACTATAGTGAAATACCACAAATTCTTCCAAAACCTATATTCGTCTAAGATCCCCGCCGATTCTGCTTTGTCGAATTGACCACTGCTCAGCTATTTTAATATGAGGCGAGGCTGATGGCTGCATTTCTTAGTTTGCCGAGACTCGTGAACCAAAGCCGCTCAAGCCCTCAAAAGCAAAGGTCGAGGCTTTCCCTTCCCGTCTCCCTGATGGCCCCAACTCATCACGTTTCAACGCTCACGCGCTCGCCACGGAAGGGTCCTTGCTTAGCAGAAAGGTACAGTGCACACCGTCAGGAGTGGGAATGGCGATCTGTTGTGAACAACCGTATCTGGAGGTAAGACTGCAAGCTGTTGCAGGTCCTGTCCAGGATTCCTATCTCCCTCAGATGCACATCAACCTGGTTGTCAGCGGCATGGCTTAGCCAAAACCGGTGGGAGCCCCCTGACCACAAACTTTGCAACTAAAGACATGACAGCCGATGAGCCCTCGTTGTAAGAGTTGGCTGCTTGAAACGAGAGTTAGACATTGAAAAGCACGGGGAAGGGCGGTGTTCGCCGAATCTTCAAACACAAAACTGTTCTTGAAATGGTTGCAACTGTTCTTGAAATGGTTGCATGCCAGGAAGACATGGAACATGTCTGAAACAGCTCCGCTCTACTATGTTGCATTTTCAGGCCTTCCATACTTGTTATTTGACAAGTGGCTATCTTAGTGTCACCACCTCTCAAGCAGGAGCTTTTTGGCTGCGGCAGCCTCTTCAAACATCTGCAAGGCTGAATTGAGCTGGGTTCCTTGTCTTGCTCCCTATTGACCATAAGGCCTATGTGCTCAGGCTTCTCTCGGCCAGAGACAGGTAAGATGCTCTGGAGCATCTGACAAGCTACCCTCAACACTTGCCAGCCCTCTTCGAGCAAGTTGCACACACTTTTCCGCACTTCGTTGTTTGTTTTAATGATGCACCGACCAAGGGCTTCGATTCTCACTCTGGTGGATGGTGTCACAGGGTGTCGCATTCATCATCACGGCCTCTTCCGTGCGCTCGTCCAGCAGCTCCTGCGCCGTCCCTTCATTCAGACCAAGCTCATCTTCAATGTTGGCCTCTATGACGGTGGTGCCGGCACGATCAGCATCCGCGTTGTCAATGGATTCATGCTCGTCGACAACCTTGCTCTCATCACGATGCTGCGAGACACGCGATGTGCCTAAAGAGCCGCCACCACTTCCGGCTCCTGAGCGGACTTGGAGCTTGATGGCCATGTCCACCATGAGCCGGTCCATCTCCTGATTTAGTAAGGTAGCCGTTGGATAGGCAGAGTCGGGTTCCCACTATGAACAGAACTCTGTGGATAATTCAGGGTCCTCGAACTTCTGTTGTGTCATCCGCGTCAACTTGCCCACCGCGCTGTCATCCACAGCGTCCTCGAGGGAAGGCCATGGCAAAGCCGGGTTGGCAAGGCCTCCGTATCGCTGAACCCGATCCAAGGTCACCTGGGATCTTCTTAAACTGCGCAGGTTAGGGTACGACAGCAAGGAAAGCATCTCCTTACCATGCTCACTTCATCAACAAAGTTCGCTGACAAGAGCCAAGTCACCTTGGGGTATTGCAGGTATTTGTATGGGTCCTCCGTCGTGGGTACTGCGCCACGGGGACCGTTGTCGCCCTCATCGAGCTCGCAAGCTTCAAGCAGGTGCAGGGATTCCACAAAGGCCGTCCACCGTTTCCTGGATTCGAGTTTTCAGGCTCCAAAAGGTGTTATGAACAGCTTTTTTCACCATGGGTCCATGATAATAAGGGAAACAACAAAGTTTCCCGCAGTGCCACCCAGTTTCTTGGAAATCAGCGGCATCGAGGTTTCGTAGATGTTGATGCCGCGGGTCAAGCGCGCATTTCCCCGAGCATCATAGTAGATTTCCTTGTAGCGCTGGCACAGCTGCGCCACCATGAGGTTCATCAGGTAGACATGCCAGCATGCAGCGAAGCCAATAATAAACCACTTCAACATGGGCTCATCTGCCTGAGCGATTTCTTCGTAGTTGGAGCTGCCATAGGTGTTGAAGGCCATGGATAACATAGACTCGAAAGCGGCAGGCCAGTTGAAGAAGTCCCGCATCTGAACAGAGTCGGCACCGGTGCCGGGCGGTAGGCAAGCCACTGCTGAAGCAAACGCTGCAGTGAAGAAAATCAAGACAGCCACATAGAGAAAGAACTCCCACATCAAGCAAGCACAGATCACGCTGAAGACGGAGAGCTGCACGTTCAGGTGCACCAACTCAGAGCCGAGCATGAAGTAGATGAGCATCGGGAAGGCTGCAAGGCGATTGTACGAATGAATGAGGTTGCATTGCCACTCTCCATACTCGCAGCAGTCCAACACGAATTCACTACTGACAGCAAGACAGTGGAGCATCGGCTCGATACAGAGCATACATATTAAGAGCAGCAGCAGCAAAACTTCGAACAGCTCCTGTCGTGTCTTCAGCACGTACTGCGGTACGGGCAAGCAGCCGACCAGGCGCGTCATCTGCTTCTCGCGAACTGCTCTGTACGTCTGGTATGCATGCTTGGCGAATAGCTGCCCAAGGCTTCCAACGTACACGATCGCTCGGCAGCAAATGACCTTATACCGATCAGTACTAAGAGGATCATTTGAGAGGATGGCTTGCTGCTCTGCCAGGGCGAAGACCAGCAGAGTAACGCAAAACCACATCTTCGTCAGAGCCCAAGGTGTTCGACAAAGCCGGTTCCATAGCAGATCGGATTGGAAAACCACAGTGGGGTGGCAAATGATCTCCGGATCGCCTTGCTTGATCAAATCCGGGAGGAGGGGCCGTAACAACTGGCCATAGCAACTATTCATAATGAGGTTTTGGAGTATGTTACAGTATAACATGTTGTAACCATATCGGAACTCTGAACTTGGTATGATTCAGGTCGCCTTGCTTGATCAAATCCAAGAGCGATTCGGTAAACTGGCCATCTTCGCCCACGAGCAGCGAGGCTATGTAGAAGTTCGCTCGCCTTACTCCATTCTTCACCTCAGCTCTTCCTGGAGGTGTTCACAAGCAGTGATATATATATATATAAATGCATATGTGTGTACATACATACATGCGTGCATACATACATACATACATAATAACGTATACATAAAGAGAGAGAGAGAGAGAGAAGATATGTATACATAAAAATACTTATGAGGAATGTACATGCATTTATACACATGTGAATATGCATACATGGAAAGAAATGATGCCTGTACTGTGTATGTACGCTGTAGCAATTTGTATGTATGTATGTATGTATGTATGTATGTATGTATGTAATGTATGTATGTATGTGTCTATGAATGTGCGTATGCATGTCTGCTTGCATGCATGTTTGTGTGCACTCATTAGCCTCTGTCTGCATACATCCATGTATTCATGTACGGATGCTTTCGCACCTTAGCACACCAAGGCACAGCATAGCGCAGCGCGTCACATCGAAGTGCGATCTGATATGCTATATAATAACATACCAGACAAAAAAAACATGTTGCCGCTATGTGGTGCAGCATGTACATGTACACCTATCCTGTGTCATCTTATGCGACACTGTCAAACATAAAATTTTGTACTATTCCCGTAGGATAGTACAAACTATAACAAAGCATGTCACCGCATAACAAGTGCACATGCAAATAATGCAGGTGCACACTGCTTACAATCTAAGCAGTATAACGCACAAAACACTAAACTCATTTGCCACAGCAGCACAGATAGCACTTATAAAGCAAACTATAATACACTTTGGAATATTGTAATGTTGTGATATTTGCATACAAAATGAAGACAGCTGCATCCTGCAAGACGAAGATGCACATGATCACCCTCTGCTGTGGAGTGTATTACATTAACTCGCTACATCGTACAAAGCATGATCTGCTAAAGCTACTAGGGATATGCTGAAGTTTGGCATACATATGCCATGGTGTTCAATATAGACGTGCAACGGGCATACAAGTATAGCAGTATACAAATAATAATGAATGCAAGTGTACGTTCAAAGGTACAACCATGTATACACATAAGCATGCATGTATATGAACGTGTCTGCCAATGTACCTGTACAATGAAATTTGCAAAAAAAAACCGTAAAAGTAGACAACTACTAAGTTGAACTAAGTTTGGATATGAGCAGACACAGACGAACACGTGTAAGTCCAAGACTAGGTAGACACACGCCACAACATGCACAAGCCTGTCTCTTTCTGGTTGCTTATTTGTCAAGCTATGCTGAGCTAAATGCAAGTTAATTTCATGAGCTGCCCAGTCTCATTCTTGGAGCGCCAGATGAGCCCATCAAACAACGTTGACAGGAGCGAGGGTGCTTTGACACAAAGCAGGCTAATGATGTCCTTGTTGTTGCCATTCAGAAACTTAACAAAGAATGAACTGAGACACAAGCTAAAATTTAGTCTACTTGTGTCTTATTAGGTCTGATGATGTAAGAACCCGGGGGGCCGAGGCCAGGGGGCCTAATAGTATGGAGGACTCAAGTCTACCTTAAGAACCCAAGACCTACTTTTTTGTAGGGTCCCTATAAATCCCCATATTAGGGTTTATAATAAGAACCTACAAAAAAGTGGGGTTTGGGGTTCTTAAGGTAAGTGTCGGAATGGCGGGTAAACAATGC